TGCCAATATTTCACGAAAAACCCTTGGCCATCATGTTCAACTCAAGTATGCAGCCACGCCCACCGCACCTCTGGGATTTTGAGTGCACTTAGTCCATGACACTTCCCCCCCCCTCCCACTCAAGTTGACCTTATTATTTATATAAGCGGTTAATTGTAGTTGATCCAGACCATTTCTTAGGTTTTGTACGTCCAGATTCAGTTTTCATGGGTGAAACATCATTGGAAAATTTTAATCCATTGTGGAGGGGGCGGTTAAAACTTTCAAGAGAGTATTTGAACGAGCAGAAAGCTTCTCGAAAAACCCTAATTTCGTCCACAAAAGCAAGCTCACTCATCTGTGACCTGTTTCTGACCATAAGTAACAATCAACGGAAGCTCTACGAGCCAGTAGAGCAAGTGCTAAATGCACATATATCTAGGAATGGGGTTTTTCTGTCCTCCCTGATCGTATGGGTGGAGCAAGATCCACAACTGTGCCGTCCTCGTTGGTGCATCCCTCTTCTGTCCAATGTACTAAAGACGGAGGCGCTCCAATAATAAGCACAGAGGCAGGGCTGACCCCGCCCACAAGACTAGCGAGGACTGTTCCTTCAATACATCCATCCCCCCTTGACAATGTGTGAAATTAATCGAACTGTGTGCAAGAAGTAGACTATTTTTGACACTATATCTTCCACAGCCAGATGAATATCACAATTCTATTTTAGGTCACAATCTCAGCGGACGATGTGCTATCATGCTGTGGAAAGAAATGTGGTGATGGGTGAGTGATAGAAATCTTACTGAAAACCCGAGCAATAGCGAGAGTGAAGCTGCGGGGAAAAAATTACCCTGCTTGTATGGGAACCACTCGAAGGTATAGTACGGAAGTAACCACTCAAAGGTATAGTACGAAATAAAAACGGATAGGATTAGTTCTTGTAATCCAGAAGAAATACCTCAAACAACATAGACGCGACAGTTGGTTGCCACCCCCTCGACGTTACATTTACACGGGCAACAATGGATTCCGTGAGCCTGTAAGGTGTCCCAGGGAATAACTCTAGGACTTCCAAGCACGCCTGCGATGCAGCGCATTTCCTACCAAATTTCAAGTCTTGGAGGAGGCAGAGCTTTGTGATCTCGAGCCAAATCACCCTGTACATCGAAGAAGTTATAGCATCAAGTTACGGCGGGCTGTGTCCTTCAAGCTCGCACTTCAGGCGGTCCAGGTTGAGATGGGTGCCACTTGTAGGAACTCTACCTTAAGATTTAACTTACCTTTTGGTTTAGATGCGAAGGAGGATATCCAATTGAAGCTTGGAAGTACTGGGTAAAGACTGGAATGTCGACAGCGAAGGCATCATACGAGATCACAGGTAGTCCGATGTTTTAATGGAAAAAGGATCTCGTAAGCATTTTCATGCTTTATTCCTTGCCCAAGCCTCAGAGTTCCGATACTTCAGTGCGGAATCATGCGTCTGTTTCCCTGTCTTATTAGGAAAGGATCACTTCTGCGATATCTGATTTTAGTCGACCGAGAATCGTGCGGTTCGTTCGGATAAAGAGTCGGACTTTGCGAGAGAAGTGGACGTTGCTGGCAGGACACGCCGACGTGGAAAGGTTACAGAACCTGTCTCGAACCTCCATCAAACATCAAAACATTGCGTTGGTCAAGTTCCGTCAATGACGAAATCTTTTGTCCATGTCTATCTCTGGAGCGCCCATAAAGATCTTGGTTACCAGAGAGTGAGCTTCGTCGTTTCATCTAAGATTACAGGCAGCCATAACCCAGTACCAGACTGATCTTATTTGTCAATGTATCATTCTTATATGCAGTAAGCAAGTGTGGCTTTCAGTCTGGATGCAAGCCGTACCCGATTCCCCCATGCGGTCATCACCCAAATCAGACCTATTTCGGTCCCTGCCCCACGGACGAGTACGACACACCTGTATGTACGAACAAGTGCATCGCTGGATACAGCAAGTCCTACAGCGATGATAAATATTACGGTAAGAGAACATTTTCCTTTGCAATCACATTGATACTAATCTCATCGGCCTGGTATTGCAGGTACATCCGCCTACAATGTTGCCAAGACTGTTGCTGGTATCCAGAAGGAAATCATGACTAATGGACCCGTGGAGGCCGCTTATACCGTCTATGAGGACTTCTACCAGTACACTGGTGGAGTATACACCGTAAGTCCTCAGAGCAGCCCTTGGTTGCCCTTTTGGGTGGCCAGTTTGCAATCAGGGATGTGAAAAACCGATAGCAAACTAAATACACACTTTAGCACACTGGTGGAGCTGCGCTCGGTGGTCATGCAGTCAGAATTCTTGGATGGGGTGTCGACAACAAGACCCCATACTGGCTCGTTGCCAACTCCTGGAACACCGACTGGGGAGAGAACGGTAATAATTGCTCACTGTCATGCCGTCTTGGAAACAACCAGATCTTACTTGGGGACGAATTGGGTCTCGAATACTTCTGAGCGCGTTACGCACTTGCATGAAAATAGGAATAGGCATTGATTTGACGCGCGCGTAATCGATATCCGTGAAACATGCAATCTGAAGGCAGTTTTATAGTGCAGCATGTAATCTTCACAGCATTACGCATAATTATACCTTTAATTCCAGGTTACTTCCGAATCCTTCGCGGAGTCAACGAGTGTGGAATTGAGCACGCTATTGTTGCTGGATTGGCAAAAGTCTGAAGCCACGTTACAAATGGTCTCTTAATAACTAGTTGACCGTGCCTTGTAAAGATATTCGGCAAGCGCTCGATGTAATTAGAAGACATCCGTGTGAAATAGAAATGTGTATATGTTCAATAGCTCCATTGACACATATGTGTACAAGTTGTATTACGTGTAATGTAAAAGTCATACAAGACTTCCAACTGCTTTAATAAATGCTTCATCTTCTGTGACTACTCTTTGTAAACAGCGCTAGAATTAAACAAAAGATAATTCCTGTCTGACCCACCCCTGGGCAATAAATGTCTTGTTACTCCCCTATCGGTACAGCTGTTATGCCCCGGGCACGCCATCGTTGTGATGATCACAACGGGGGAGGGGGTCGTATTTGGTCTGAGAAAATTTTTTTGATAGTTGATTTCTCTTGTTTCACGGACGCTATAAAGGGGAGGGGTCGTATTTGGTCGTTGTTGGGAGAGGGACTGCCAAAGATCTATACAACTACTAAAGTCGTCCGTT